ACAAAAAAAAAAAAAGAGGGAAAGAAAGAAAGATAGAAGAACGACGATACAATTGGCAGACACCGACGAGGCTCAACTAAAATACGCAATATATGTGAGACGAGTAAAAGGGAGGTAAACGAAGAAGAAAGAGAATAAAGATAGAAAATCTCGCGAACACGTCAGGTGAAAGGTATCCCCCTTTTTGCAAAGAGGTCAATTCAGTATTAAACTGCGTCTAGACTGTTACATTGTTGATGAAGAAGATTTCGGTTTTCGTGGTCGAGGACGATGGTCGAGACGATCTTCCCAGAGGCTCGATCCCTGATCGTTGCTCAATGATGGACCCGCGATCAACCGGTCAGGTCATCGGGGGACGACTCGCGCTCGATGATCCATCGTGCGCACCACTTCAGAACAATTCGTCAAGTGCCAGATTCGTTCATAGACGTTCTCTTTTCGGTTTCTAGCGGAGACGACGAAGGAATTGACTTGTTGACGACGGTGAGGACGGGGAGAGTTCAAGGAGTGAGTTGACATTTATGTATGTCGGAAGAATCAATAATCGAAAATGGTACGTCTAACAGCCTTAACTTTCCAATTTTTCGGGTTATTCATTTATCACTCAATCATATTAACGAGTCGAATTTTTTTCATTCACTAATTTCTCATTTCTCTGTTATTCTTTAATTCTTCTCTGTTATTCTTTGATCCTTAATTTCTCTATTAACTATTATCAAGTTACATTATGAAATAGTGAGTGTTTCAACTATAAAACTGATAATCTCATGTAACAATGTTTTCAAAATTTCTTCGAACAATTTTCATTAAATCTCGCATTGTTTTTTTCAACGTTGAATTCGTTGGAGATATTAATACAGAAGAAAATTCTGAACTCTAAAATTAACTATGAAAATAGAAATATACATGACAATTCGTGCGATATGATCAAGAAACACGATGTAAGAATCTCCAGTAATGAACTCCGAGCTCTCCGCTCCTCGGCCAAGAAAAGAAAATGGTGGAAGGGCTCCCCTTAACACCTTGACTGCCGCGTCACCCGCGCAAACGGGTGGCACAACTTTCCGTTTACAGTCGAAAGCTAATCTTTACGGTAGGATATCGAATAAAGCAACTTTAGTTAGGCCCTATGAGATTCAAGATGGTTAAAAGGATAACGACTGTGATAAAATACTGGCTTACAAGTGTCCCGTATCATTAAAAGCAAAAGGGACGGGTTTGAACTTTGTGGGACATTTAACCTATAAGCCGCCATGACGCCCATTTCGAAAATCACGCACATTTAAACCGCCATTTCCGTTTTCTGGGTATTTCTTACGGTTTC